TTATGGAGAGCACAGTTGTACTCAGACTCACGTGGAGTTGCTCAGTTGGAGTCCACTTGATGGAAACTGGTTTAGTTTCTTTTATGCGCCATGACTCAATGGTCACAAAGTGTAATACCAAGACTTGATAAAACATGCAATGATCTTGTTGCCTAGGGAGTGTGTGGATGAACACGGAGCTCTGTAGATATGTGAAACTGCAAGTTTGTGACTCCCTTAATTTGTCTATACTATGTGTAATCACTTTTCTACTCACCTTATATTTCCCAAGTAGTGGGTGGCGCCCTCCTGTTATTAACATGTCATCCGCACGCTCTAGAATAAAACGAATTGGGTGACCAGTCCTGGAGAAAATAAAATAGAATCACAACTTTAAGACCTTTGAGATTGAGAGGTCAAGTTTGTAGAATGTTCCAGGAACTACTGACAGATCCCCTTCACCACACAATTAAGAGACAAAGAAAGAAATATTCACAGGAAGTAATGGTGGTGGTGGTCCAACTTATAGCGACTCTGTATAGGTCTGTATGCTGTGCAATTGATATGCTGAGCAAATAATCTGAGAACTTGGATTATATGAGGAAGAACATGGCATCAGGATTGGAGGAAGATTCATTAGCAACCTCCAACATGCAGGTGATATAACCTTGCTTGCCGAAAGCCAGCCAAGAGGGCTTAAAATACTGATGAAGATCAAAAGCCACAGCCTTGGGTATGGGTTGCACGTCAATGTAAAGATAACCAAAATCTTCTCCATTGGACCAATAAATCACATCAAGATAAATGGAAAAAATATTGAAGTTGTCAAAGACTTCATTTTACTTGGATCTACCATCAACATTCATGGAAGTTGCAGTCAAGAAATCAAACAACGTATTGCATTAAGCAAATCTGCTGTACAAAACCTCTTTAAAGTGTTAAAGAGCAAACAGGTCAGTTTGAATATTAAAGTGTGCTGACCCAAGCTATAGTATTTTCCATCACCTCATATGCATGTGAAAGTTGGAAGTGAATAAGAAAGACTGTAGAAGAATTGACGCATTTGTGATATGATGTTGGAGAAGAATATTAAAGGTACCATGGACTTTCAGAAGAACAAACAAATCTGTGTTGGAAGTACAGCCAGAATATTTCTTAGAAGCAAAGATGGCCAGACTTAGTCTCTCAAACTTCAGACATATTATCAGGAGGGACCAGTGTCTGGAGAATGGCATCATGCTTGGTAAGTGGAGGGTCAGCTAAAATAGAGGAAGATTTCCCTGGTGTTCATAGTGACCCTGTCCTATTCACCTTATAAGGCCTCTCTATTGTTTGGCTGACAGCTGAGCCATGGGATGAGTTAAATTCCAGGCCTCAAGGACCTCTAAGGGCATAGTCTCTGGGGTTCCATCAATCTCTAGTAGACCAGTAAGCCTGGTCTTCTTGATATGATTTTGAGTTTTGTTCCACATGTTTCTCCCATTCTATCAAAGATTTCTAATATGATCTCTGTCAGAACAGTAGGTAGTGGAAGCCAGGTACTGTCTAGTTCTTCTGGTCTCAGGATCATGGAGGTTGATGTTTGAATGATCCATTAGGCTATCAGAGTAATTGCTTCTAGACATCTTTGATTTTCTTCACTCTTCTTTCCTCAGGATGAAGAGAGACCAATAGTTACATCTTAGATTGCCACTCATGAGCTTTTAATACTCCAGTCACTGCCACCAAAATAGGAGGTAGAGTATTGTCTTTGTGGACTATGTTATGTCAATCGGCCTTGGTGTACCCTGGGACTATGGTTCTAAGCCACCAAGTTAGGGATCACATTCTTTATCTATATTGATGGTATTTAATTATAAGTTGTTCCACAAGTTCAATTTTGGTCTTAATTTCCCATTCTTCATCCAAATGCCCAGGTCATCATGAAATCCTTCCATTTATTTATTCTCTCACAAAATTTCTAAGATCCAATTATCCTTTTTCAATAACCATCCCTTGTCTGAGCCTTAATTTCCTCCTATCTTGACTACTGTAGTTGGTCAAATTCCAGAATATTCTCTGGCCATTTTCATCTTCAGTCCACCTCCACAAGAGCAACGGAAGCCACCTTCTATAAAAGTATCTCTATGACTGTGACTCCCATATTTAGAACCTTGTGATGGTTTCTCTTCAGTGTACTGAGAACCACACTTCTCTTCCTTCCATTTTCACTTAGAATTACTTTCTTAATCAAGCTCTTAAGATTAGAGTCGACCTAATTTTGGTTGGATCACTAAAACCGAACACTTGCCTGGTAGCCTTTGTAATTTTGTTTTTTTCTGGAAAATGGTGTGTGCTCTGCTTTGGAAAAACAGAATTTGTGATCTGGTCCTTCAAGAATCATACCAGTCTTTTCTTACAAACTGTGTATATCAGCCACATTTACACTTAAAAAAAAAAAACATATTTGGTTTTGTTGCATATATAATATACACACATGCTACAAAATTCAAAAGGTTAAAAAAGGAATTCAATGAGAAGTGCCTTTCCCTGTTTGTTCCTCAGCTACCCAAGTCTTTCTGGAAATAGAATTGTCAGCAGCTTCTTGAGTGTCATTTAAATACATTCAATTTTTGGTGTGTTATCAGATATTCTTTCATCTAAGAAATATCAAGGTGCCCAAGAGCCAGCGCTACATGTACTTTCTTTTTCCTAATTTTTAAGTCATATAGGTTCTGCCCAGATCTTAGTAAATATTGTTGACAAATCAAATCACCCATTTCATTTACTGTTAATTCCTTTGCTATTAAGAAACACGCAGCCTTTTAAGTTAGAATCATTAAGAGTATTAAAGTGGTGGTCATGGTGGTTGTGTGTTGTTGAGTTGTTTCCAATTCAAAGTGACCCTGTACAGGGTTTCTCACTTTCTCACTTGGAGTGCCTGGTAGATTCAAACTGTTGACTTCAAGGTTAACATCCCAACTTGTAACCTACTATGCCGCAAGGGTTTCTTAAAAGTACTGAAGTAGAATCCAGTATTCTGGTACTCCTATTCAGGCACAATGCACAAAGACAAATGTGCTCAACCTTGTGCTATATGGCAGGCCCTCATTCATTAGGCCTGGGTGGTAATGGTCAAATTACTGTGCTACACAGTCTCTCCTTCCTTTCACCTTTCGCCTTAAAAATCTTTGGAAAGACCTTTGGGCATACATCCAACCAAGAGTAGAGGGCTGAGAACTGGAATGCGGAGGGCCCCAAATCACAGACACACTCACTTGTTGGCTGCTACAGCTGCCACCGCTGCCAGGAGTGCAGGCTTAGTCAGTTTCCCCCCAAAGGCTCCACCAACCCTTTTCACATGGCAGTTGATCCTATTCTTTGGAATCCCCAAGGCGTAAGCCACCATTTCCTGTAAGTAAATCAGGGGTTAGTTACAGTCTCCCCACCCCAAGGCTACTCAGAACATGCATTATAAACAAGAGGTGCATTCACTGAAATATAAAATGCTTTCTCACTTTCCCTACTGCCCAGCATAAAATATATTTCTTTTTCTATTAGTGGGGAGAGATTGGAGAAACTGTTATAAATGCTTGCAATGTCCAAGTTGAGAAAATAAAATGCTGCTACTTTTCAAAATTTACTAATGAGAGAGCACACTGCAAAATGTAACTAAAGTCATCACCACCAATCCCTCATCCTCCTTGGCTTGGCAGCCTCTTGTTGTTGTTGTTGTTGAGTGCCATCGAGTTGGTACCAATTCATAGCGGCCCTCTACAGGGTTTCCAAGGAATGGCTGGTGGGGTTTAATCTCTGACCTTGAGGTTCCAACAGACCTTTCAGTCCAGTGCTTACCCTCCAGTGCCACACCAGCATTCCTTAGCAGCCTTTTGAGTCCCTTAAATGGCCACTTGAGACTTCTTCCTCTTAAATATTTGCATTATCATGTGTAAAAAAGTTGGAAATGGGACAGTCAGAGGGAGCTATGCATCACCTGAAGGGAAATCATAAACATGATGCTGACTCAGGTGAGCAGGTGGTCCTTGGAGTTGAAATGGCAGCCTTGTAGTAGCACAGTGAGAGGAAGTTTAAAGAAAGGCCATTTGTAGCTCAAAACTCAGCAGGAGATAATTCCTCCTGCCTCTCTGGGTAGAGTCTGCACAGAAAACTACAGCCAGCTCACATTTGCAACAGAAAGCAGAACAGCATAGTGGAGGGCCATGCAATAAACTTAGCAGGAGGCGATCTTTGAATTGAGTGATGGAGGGAACCCAGCTTCCAGATGTGTGGAACTGAGAAAAATGTTTGTGGGAACTGAGAAAAATGTGTGTAGTGCAAGAGGAGTCCTGAGTCAAAGACATGATGTACACAAAGTCGAGTGGGCAGCGGAAGTTGATAATGGTAATCATAACCCAACTGCCTTTGAGTTGATGCCACTCATCGTGGCCCTATATGAGTCAGTGTAGAACTGTGTTCCATAGCATTTTCAGTATCTGATTTTTTGGGGTTAGATCTCCAGGGCTTTCTTTTGTGTTCTCTCTGGGTGGACTTGAACACCCAACCTTCTGTTAGCATCTAAAGTGTGTTAATTGTTTGTACCTCTCAGGGATATACAAATATCATAGGATTGGGGCAGAGAAATGAAAGAACATTACAGGCCAGTCTTTTAACCACAACTGGTTGAAGACTCATTGATTCATGGATCCGGAGTAAACTGAAAATTACTATCAAAGCACCACTGTATGGAGCTTCTATTTTATTCTCTATAATTACTACGTTCACAAGTTACACAAGGATTTAAAAGGTCTTTAAAGGTTTAGGAGTGCATACTTAATTCTGGATAAGCACTGAGAAAAATTAGAGCTAGGCTTTGTCTCTATCAATTGTTAATGTCAAACATCTGGCTAACCATTACCGTGAAATCTGGGTTGCAGGGTTACAAAACAAGACAATGACAACACCTCACTTTGAAAATCAGTGTCTGTGACACAAGAAACAGTGACTAGGAGGAACCCACCTGTGTAAATGCTGCATCCTGGGTTGACACATATATGTCCATTTCTTTATCCTCGACCTTTGGAACCACAAGAACACTTTGAGTTTCCATATAAAAATGTTCCTGTCCTCCAAAGTGCACTTCCCCTGTTAAGCAAACAGATGGATTCATATTTTAGAATATGGATTCATACTTTAGAGACAAATGGATTCATATTTTAGAGACATTTAATTCAAATTTTATATATATATTTAATTTAAATATATTCAAAACAGAGTACAAAGTATTTTACTAAATGTTAATATTATTTTCTTAAAGGTTTGGTTTTCTGTCTTAATTTCAAGGAATCCTTACAAAATTTCACAGGCAACTATTATTATACATATGGTCACTGAACAATGATACACAGATTTAAAATCTCTTACATACTTGGCCCCATTTCACTACACCTAGAAAGGCATTACTATTGACTTAAGCAAATACCTCAATCATCAGATAAGAAAAACCCCTTCCAAGACTAAGACTCAATGGGAATACATGCTCTGATTGGTGACCACATTCGTCACCAAATAAGGGGAAGTGATGGAAAAACAGCAATGAAGTTGCAAGCTAAGCCCTACAATGAACCCAGTGGAGACCTGGTTAACCAGCAGTATGGCAAGACTGTGGACTCTTAGGCCCAGAGTCAGTGACATACCCACAGAGGACTAGAGTGGAGAGTGGAGTGTCCAGCTGATAAGAAGAGAGGGCATATGCATAAGAACACTCATACGTGCAGATAATACCCACTTGATCTGGCTTCAATGACTGGATGATCAGAGCTCAACTAGAAGAAGAAAGAAGAGGGGGAAAAGAGTAATCTGATATAATTTGATGAACTTGACCTACACCTATGGATGCAGTAGCTCAAAAGAGGAAACAACTCTTTACAGCGAGAATTATTCCCACCCCCTCCATACACAGAGTAGACAGGGATGGGCAACTTGGACATTGGCTACCCAAAATTGCGGGGGTGGTGCCTACAAAGGCAAGAAGTGACTGGCTTACAAGCTTTCAAGAGGGAACCTAGATCCAGAGGGTGTGGAAGAAGGTAGAATCTCCACTGAGTAGTATCCAATCTGTCTAGGCGGGGCTGATGAAAGGAGATGCAGATAGGTCTCTTGTGATACAATAGTGAATAATTGTTATCAGGACTGATTGTGTGGGTTGGAAATGTAAAGGTAGATGTTTTGTAGCAAAGGAGGGGAGTGATTGACTTTGCAGTCTAGGAGCTGCGGTCCCTGGGATCATCAAAGGAGAAGAGCAGAGAGCGGGACCCTACCCAGAGAAACAGTGACACCAGAGATGGAGGCAGAGACGATGATGTGGAGAGATGGAGCGTCTGGGGACTTTAAACCCAGAGAGGGAGAGGGGCTGTGTGCTGATGACCCGGGGGCAGGCTTGCAGGATATACCCTTTGGTTGGTTTATGATGCATGGAGGGGATTGTAACCATGGCAATGAAACGATATACGATAGGATGAATGTAAAGCTAATGGTCTCCCATGTAAATTATCACATAATTCACATTAAAACATTAAAAAAAAAAAAAAAAAGAATACAGAGTAAGATGTTCTAAGGGTGGGTTCCTTTTTATAACAGAACTGCCTGAGGGCAAGGATGATTATTAAGCATATAGAAACTTGTACCAAAACAGTGACACCCAACCCGAAATACAGTTTTCATCTGCTTACTAGAAAGATTAAATCCCAAACAACCTGCAGTGTCAGTGCCTTTTGGGACGCCTCTATGCCTAGTCATAGATATTTAAAAAATAAAGTTTGTTTGCCTTCAAGAAATTGGCAATTGGACAGAGAAGTGCCATGGCAATTGGAAAGACAGTCAAGAATTTAGTGCTCAACCCCTAGATATACATTGTAAATTCCCTGGTATAAAAACAGTGTGGGCAATCCTTGAAATCACAGCCCTGAGGTCAGTCATCTCCGAGCATATACAGAATGGGCATCCTGGAATTATTAGCTTCATCCAGTTTTAGCGCTCTAGGTGATGGAAGTTTGAGAATTAAAAAATGACCCCAAATGAAATGGGCAGTGAGCTTCGATTGCCAGGCCTCCTTTCTCATTCTTTTTGTCACTGTTTCTTGTCCCTCCCTTCTGGCTGTGTTTGGTGGCTATCATTTTCCTTCTCTCTCATTCTCCTTTTGTTGTTGTTGGTAGGTGC